TTCTTGGAAAGAGGAGGGGCGGGACTGGAAATTCTGAGCTGGTCACTGATTGTAACATCCTGTTGCTTCACTTTGCCAGATTTGTGCCTATCGAGAGGAAAGCCAGGAACCGCCTCACTGTTGGCATTAGTCCCTAGAACTTGCATGGCTGCTAGAGCAACTCTCCTTACTTTCCATTAAAACCTATGCCGCCTGGTCAGGGGAGAGGGAAAATAACCTGCAGAGCATTCTAGCAAGAAACTGACACTACAGTCTGGAAGAGACAACATGCTGGATCAGATTCACTTGCTGGCTGCTGTGAGCGTCCTGGGAGTCCTGGAGCAAGGTATGGTGATTGAATAACCATTCTTCCCCACTTGGATTAGCTAGTTTACATCTTGTCACTCTCCTTTTATTTACATTAATTAATAACTCCTCTGACAGGGTTCATTAGGCCATTGACCCTTAGGCTGCACCTAGATGAAATCCACAGCATGCTAGGTCCTAGTTGCTGGTGAAGTCCAGATGGGGGAGGAGGTCAATAGAACACCACTTGTCATCACCTACAACCCCCAACTTAAACCTGTCCAACACATTATCAATAAACTACAGCCTATATTGGAACAGGATACCATACTCAAAGAGGCTCTGGGAGACAGACCCATAGTCTCCTATAGACAACCACCTAACCTCAAGATGATTCTTACCAACCACCACAGGACATACCACACTAATACCAACCCTGGTACCTTCCCTTGCAACAAACCCCGTTGCCAGCTTTGTCCACATATTCATTCTGCTGATACCATTATTGGACCTAACCAAGTGAGTTATAAGATCAAGAACACATATTCCTGCGCATCCAGAAATATAATTTATGCTATCATGTGCCGAAAGTGTCCGTCTGCTATGTACATTGGGCAAACATCTCAGACACTTCGCCAAAGGATTAATGCCCACAAAACAGATATCAGACAAGATCACAAAGAAAAAACAGTTTCTTGCCATTTTAACCAGAAAGGACACTCTCTCAATGACTTAACCACCTGCATTCTGCTACAAAGACCTTTTACATCTGCACTTGAAAGGGAATCCTCTGAACTGTCATTCATGTTAAAATTCGACACTCTCCGGGAAGGAATGAACAAAGACTCTAACTATCTTACCCATTACCAAGATAGCTTCCCCAATTATCACCTCTAATACCATTAGCTCACAGACATCTAACTCTCCCCACCTCTAATATAATTTATTCACAGGCACTTACCTTCCTTCCTTCCCCCCTCTCCCCCCGCATCTCCCTCCTGTTCTGAAATGTGATTTGTCCTTTTCATATGTGTTCACTTTTTTTTAATTGTATCCTTTGGTATATATGATTGTGACTATTTTCTTCCACATATTGATCTGAAGAAGTGAGTCTGGCCCACGAAAGCTCATCACCTAATAAACCATCTTGTTAGTCTTTAAAGTGCTACATAGTCCTGTATTTTGCTTCTGATGTAAGGGGGGATGAGTAGAAAGTAGAAATGATTGAGGAGGAAGCAGATCAGGGAAGGCATTAAGGGCTGGAAAGCAAAAGCAGAGAGCTGCTGGCTTGAGGGCCCCCCGGACTGAAACCAAGTGTTACAGGGTGGGCCTGGGTTCACCTATGTGTGTTTGCTGGAGTGAGGCAGTAGGGGGATAGCTCATTTGGTGGTGGCTGAAAGCAGCCTTTGATAATATCCTGGAAGTAGGGAGACCTTTAATGTGGCTCATCTAGAGGAAAGAACGGCAGCATCTGGCCTACGACAGGCCGTTCAGTAAGCAAGGTGAATGACTGGCTGAGTAACTACAGGATATGGCATCTAGGGTTCCTAGGTGTCCGGTATGGACCTGGACAGTCTGGTATTTTCGCCTCCTGTCCAGTAAAAAAATTCAGAAAATACCAGGCACCTAAAATATCTGGTATTTTCTGATTTTTTTTCCCCTGGCCAGGAGGCGAAAATGCTTTCCTGGGTGCTTACCTGGTTCCTCAGGGAGCAGGAGGACAAGATAGCAGATGGCCATCAGCAGCCTGTTAGGGCCAAAAAGCCTCAAAAGCATTTCTTAAAGGGGCCGTGCTTTTTTTAAAAAAAAATTTAAATTTTTTTGCTTAACAACTCTTGGGGTCCTTTTTTTTTTTTTTTCTTCTTCTCAACAACTTTGCTCTTCCCCGGCAAGCAAATGTCGTTACGCCGATTACTTTTCAGGAAGAACGGCATTGCGCAAGAGGTTTTTTCTTGCGCAAGAAGGGGCAATGTAGACAGCTCCTTCTGGCGCAAGAGCCTCTTCTGCAAAAATGGTGGCTCATTAGGTATGCAAACGAGGCTCAGCGATATTCCATGCTTAGCCTCATTTGCATATTTCTGGTGCAAGAAGCCGCAAGTGTAGACATAGCCTCACACTCCTGCTTTGTATATTACATTTCTGAGATCAGCTTTTAAGACACTCAACAAGTAATTAGGCTGGGCTTCTAAATGCATTAGCCCTAAGGACTGTCAGTGATACCAGAGTAATAAGATGGGAGAGTCTAGGGCAGGACCTATTTCTCAGGCATGGCATAAACCTAAACAGGCCCATACACAGGAATTGGGGCTGATGGCTGCCCCACAGCCTAGCCCTGCCTGCCCCATGCCTCGCTACTGGGAGAGGTCGGGGAAATCAGTCACAGCCTTCCTTGGGCCAGTGTGCCGCCCAAGCCGCACACTTACTTGGAGGACCATGGGTGGAGAAGGGGTGCATTCACACGCCCTTCACACTCCCCTTGCATACAGGCCTCGTAAATCTTAAGTCAAACTATCTTCACCACTTGGGTCCGTGGAAAAAGTGTGTGGCCTGTGTGATGTAGTTAGATTGACCTACTGCAGATACAGCTCTGTTGAGGGAAGAATCCCTCTGTCAAAGTATAAACAATGAGAAGTCCTGTGACTCCTTACAGACTAACAGATTTATTGGAGCATCAGCTTTTGTGGGCAAAGACCCCCCTTTGTCAGTAGGGTTGCCAAGTGTCCGGTTTTGAACCAGACAGTCCTGTATTTGAGCTTTCTGTTTGGGAAACAAATTGAGAAAATATAATTGTCTGCTATTTTCTAAATAAAACGTAATGTAGATTGTGATGTAATGTCAAATATGTCCGATATTTTTGTTGAAACCATATGGCAACCCTAGCTGTCAGATGCATCAAATCTGTTAGTCTATAACAGTGTTTCTCAACCAATGGTACGAGTACTCCCAGGAATACTCAAGAGAAGTCTGAGGGGTACGTCAACGCAATTGAAATTTGGAGAAAACTGAATTTCTGTTCTAAGTTTTACAGCGGTTTATTATTTTTGTACTTTTTACACCCAAAAATGTCATTGCCCACCCAGCTACGATTAACTTGTTTAAACAAATGTGTTGCAATGGCAGGAAAAAAAATGTGTGTGTCTGAAAACTGAAGGTACTGGGGGTACTTATAATTTTTTTTAAAGGGGTACTTTATAAAAAAAATGTTGAGAAACACTTGTCTATATAAGGTGCCACAGGACTTCTTGTTGTTTATGCAGATTCAGACTAACACGGCTACTCTCTGATTCTGTCACAGGAGTTACTGTCTCTCAGAGAGGTAGATTACTCTGCATTAACAAACAAAAAACCCAACAATCCCCGCCCCCTTGCATTAGCATAGGAAATATCTAAACTACAGTGGCATCGTGGAAATGCTTGGAGTGCAAATATACCCACTTCCTGGGAATTTCTTGGTGCATCTTAACTTACAAATGTAGAAAGCTCCCCAGGAAACAGGAAACTCCCTCCATTTTACAAATAGGCTCATTGTTTCCTTGAGGGACTGTGGACTTCAGTGCGATCAAAAAGATAATTGAAGAACGTCACATGGGCAGAAAAGTAGAGCAACTAGAGACAGTGAAGTAAAACCTTTCTACGGGCAGGAAGCAAAGGGTTCTGGTAGAAAGGGAATCTTCTAGATCTTGTTCCTCACTGAATGGTAAAAAAGCAAGTGGCTAGGAACTTTTTCAGGAACCAGTGTGCATGATTTCCTGGCAGGTCTGGCTTGGCACTTGCAAACAGCACACAGGATTATCTAATAACATTGGCCATTTTTACTTGCTTTCTAGTGACCCTAGGCTTCCAACAGTGCCTACATAGGGATACACACACCTATTACTTCATCCTAAACCCAGCTCACTGGACTCTGGGGAAGGAGCATGGGTGTCAAAAGTGTGTGTGACTGCCATGGTGAGATCAAAATGAGGAGGTGAACGGAGAGGCTGTGTTCCATCAGATTCCTTAGTTTGTAGTGATCTTTCAGAATCTGGTACTAGGATGCAAATGAGAGGTATGTTTGTGTCTTTTCTGTCCTTGAAAAATAACAGGTCTGGTCTATATAATCATTCTTTGCACTGCATGTAAGTATATTGTAACGAGCCCCTTTGTCAACAGGCTAATTAAATGTAACTGGCATTTATGGTGGTGTGTTTGCAGTGTGGTTGGAGCCACTTATCTGTGCCTGTGTAGTCAGGTTTGCTTCTTTCACTAATGAAGGGTAGGGATGGTGATGGCTTGAATGTTCATCCCTCAGTGCTTTCAGAACTTCTGGCTGTATAAACAGGCCAGACTCTGTAAAGGTACCTATTGTAATGATACCCACTGATTCCTAAGACTGCTTCAAATTCAAGGTAACTCTCTCTCACTAGGGAAGTAAAGGGTTAGCCTATTACCTGGTAAGCATCAGCCTTACCAGCATGCTTACCCAGGTAACCAGTGAACTGGTGCCCCTTCCCCCCTCGCCTACCTCCCTCCCCCTCATCTGGGGCAGTCTCCCATCCACAGAATCCTGGCTAATCTGTTACCCATTCACTTTTTTAATACCTCTCACAGGCTGTGTCCAGACTCAAGCCGCGTTCTTTCGAAATTAAATCGAAAGAACGCGGCTTTTCTTTCGATGGCGGTAAACCTCATTTCACGAGGAAGAACGCCTTCTTTCGAAAGTTCCTCTTTCGAAAGAAGGCGTTCTTCAATGTAAATAGGGCTTCTTCGAAAGAGAGCATCCAGACTCACTGGATGCTTTCTTTCGAAAAAGCAAGCCGCTTTTTCGAAAGTTCAACGTGCAGTCTAGACGCTCTCTTTTGAGAGGCTCTTTTGAAAGTATCTTTCGAAAGAGCCTCTTTCGAAAGAGGCTTGCAGTCTAGACATAGCTACAGTGAGAATTAGGGATTTGGGTTAGAGATAAGTGATGAGACTAAGTCACCAGTTCTTCCTGGCTACATGGGCAGTTCATACAGATGAGTCCTGAGAGAATCTAATTTCATATTGAGCTCTGACACACAGTGCTGAGTGCTTTGTATCCTTCCACACAGAGGCCTGGAGGAAGGGGTGATGTTGAACCCAATTACAGAGACAGGGTGATTTTATCTATGCTGCAGAAGAACATTTGTCTTCCATTTAAATATCTTTTCCCTCCTTAGAACTAAGATGAGAGAGGATATCACTTGATAAGTTATAAATATTTCCAGCCTGTGCACTTGACATAATAATATGTTGGTTCCTGAAATTAGACCCACATGTGGCTAGTCTGTCCTGTGAAATCTGGATGGTATGTGTGGAGCCTTGTCAGAGCTGGAGATATTTCTCTGGAAACTCGTGAAAATCTCTTATTAGTGGAGAAATACGGTCCCTTCCAGAGGCATCACTTTTTTTTTCCTGAGGAAATATTTGTATGAGTCCTGGGTATAATTATTTTATGGTAGAGCTATAAAAATAGTGTTAGGAAGTGTGTGGCTGGGTTGGGAGAGGGATAACTCCATTGCATATATGGACATTACACCAACTTCTTCTTTCACATGGTTGCGGAATGTTAACAAAAGGATCATGAGTGATCTTGTAACACAACATGGAACTCCATGTATAACAGTCTCTGTGGAGCCCCATGAGATCATGCTTTCTTGTTTCTTTCTTTACAGCTTACTTCTCCCTCCAAGTGATCTATGCCAGGCGAACGTATGGGATCTCTCCTCCAAAAATCTCAGGGCCACCTGAGTTTGAGAGGGTCTTTCGAGCACAGTAAGACTAATTTTTTTAATGACCTGCTCTGTAGGGCCAGAAGTCTCCTATGCTATTTTTGCTGACAGACTGATCGGACAATTTGCTCACAAAAAATACTGAACAACAACAACAAAAAACATGCCAGGAAAAAGTTTGTTGATGGGGGAGGGGAGGAGAGGGAAGGGGAGAGGAAGTCCCCCCCCCCCACCGTGGCCCCTTTAAAAACCGCATGCGTGAGGCTTTTTGGCTTTAACAGGCTGCCGGTGGCTGCCTGCCATCTTGCCTCTCTGCACTAGACCGGACAGCTCCCCAGTAAGCACTAGGGTTGCCAGGCTGCCTCTGTATTGAGCCAGACAGCCCGGGATTTTCGCTTCCTGGCCAGGAAAAGAATCAGAAAGTACTGGACATATTATCTGATTTTTTTTACCAGACAGGCGGCAAAAATAATGGACTGTCCAGTTCAATAACAGACACCTGGCAACCCTAAAAGACTTCCTCCAGGACTGCAGGTGGTTACAGTATTGGGAGACCAGAGAAGGGGCTTTAGGGGCTACATGACTGATAGAACGGCAAGGACTAATCTCACCGCTGCTCTCAGTCAGCCTGCTGTCATGGTGGAAGAGGACTGATTATTGCTATAAATCCCTCCCTCTATGGCCAGGGGGGCCATTTCAGATTGGGGGGGAGGGGTGACTTGTGCATGCCGTGATGAAGGGAGGGAAGGGAGTGAGAGCATTCAGGTGGACTGAGAACAGAATCTGCAGCAGTGTTACTGAGCATGCTCAGTACAAGCCAAGCACCAAATGGGAAGGAGGGAAACCAGCCCCCTCCCGCACATCATCATCTGTATCCAGAGGCTACTAATGCACTGAAAAACTCTACTTTTTTGGCAGACAATTTAGCAGTTAGCTGGCAGGAGCACTGTATCTAATTCTTGTATAAAAGAAATACCATTAAATAAATATTAGATCCACTCAGCTCTAACAATAACATATTTTGATCTCTTGTGGCAAATCACGTAAGGGACACTTGCTAGCCTTAAAATTTTAATAGATATTCTTACTTTGTTTACTAACTCTGTGGAGAGAGACAGACCCCATCTGAACTCCTCGGCTCTATCTCAGCTCTGGAAGGGGAGTGGGGTCTAGTGGCTTACTGCAAGGGGGCAGATACATTTCAGCTCTATAGAAGAACATACTGGGTGAGGCCAAAGGTCCTTCTGGCTCAGTATCCTGTCTTCCGATGGTGGCCAATGACAGGTTCTTCAGAAGGAATAAAACAGAAGAGACAATGCTCCTCCTTGCAGAAGGAATAACAGTAGTTCGAATTAGGAGCCTTAATTCGAACTACCTAGTCCTTGCCGCGTGTAGCCGTGGGCAGGTAGTTTGAACTACGGGCATTTAAAAATGGCACCCGCTTGGGAACATGCAAATGAAGCCCGGGATATTTAAATCCCAGGCTTCATTTGCAAGTTCGAATGCCTACATTAGTCACCTTAGTTCGAACTAGGGTGGCAGTGTAGACAGACCCCCAGAGAGGAACTCTTTCATCCTTCTTACAAGGTTTATGGGGAGGCTGCCTTAATCTACCCTCCAGAATAGGACACCTTCTACGCCAAGCCAGCAGTAAGTGGTCTGGCATCATTGTAGCACAAAGCATTGCAGCATAAGGTCCAGGTTTCTAGCCACATTCAGTCAACATCTGCTCCCTATCACTTTGTGGGTACATCTAAACTACGTTCTATTTTTGAAAGAGAAAAACTGCAGTTTTTTTCGAAAAAGGGAGTTTTTTCAAAAAAACCTGCATCCAGCCTACTTTCACTTTCGAAAGATCCACTTTCGAAAGTGAGATCAGAATTCCTGTAGAATTTGCATATCCTCTTTCGCAGATAGAATGCAGTCTAGACATAGCCTCAGTGACTCACAGAAGACTGATCTCTCTTATGGCAACCTGGAGGAAGCAGGGGAAGCTATTAGCTGATGCCTCTGCAGTAAACCTCCATTTGCTCATCCCCAAGGAGGCATGGCTTGAGCCTCTGCCCTGCTGCCGTGCCAAGACCCCCTACCTCTCCCGCTCACCCACTCCTGCAGTAAGGGAAAGTTAGACCCTCCCAGCAAATGGGGGTGCTGAACACATGGGCGCTAGCCCTGCTGCCATGCCCCCCCTCCCTCAAGCTCATGCCCCAGCCTCTCCCTACCATGCCTGCCATCAAACTGAGTCCAGCTGCTCCCCTAAAAACTCTGATGTCTACCTGCTGTATAGTGGCTACCTAAAAGCATAACTGTGGCCTTGTACACAATGCATCCCGATTGTCTTTAGACAGACCTTCCTTTTATTTTAACAGATTAGGTATTATGCTCTACAATGCATCTCTTGTTACGTTTGCCCTTTACTTTTCATTACAGCAAGAACAGCAGTGAGCCTGCTGCTCCCTCCCCTGGCCTCACCAGCTATCCGTCTGGTGCAGATAATCAGGCAAAATGGATTAGGGATGATACATTCAAGGCACAAATGCAATCTGCCAACTTGGACATGGAGCATTTAAGTTAGTGGAGGAACATGCTGCTGAAGGGGATGCATGTGGAGCATGAGGACAGGAGAGTGTGAAGGGACCTGAAAGTGAAGGACCGGGAGGGAGTCTTGTCATCCATGGTGGATATGATGGACCACATGGCAGCTTTCCAGGATGCCCATATGCACAGGCACCCCTCTAGCTCTTGCGGATCACCATTCCCTCCTCATCGAGTTCCATGGCTTCCTCTCTCAGGGGCCCTAGAATCCCGGGGGAGTCAAGGGCAGCCTCACACTCAACTCCTAGGAGTGTCATGAAGCAAAAAGCTGTCCTGCCAATTGTGATCACACATATATACATGGCAGCTTTCCAGGATGCCCATATGCACAGGCACCCCTCTAGCTCTTGCGGATCACCATTCCCTCCTCATCGAGTTCCATGGCTTCCTCTCTCAGGGGCCCTAGAATCCCGGGGGAGTCAAGGGCAGCCTCACACTCAACTCCTAGGAGTGTCATGAAGCAAAAAGCTGTCCTGCCAATTGTGATCACACATATATTTGTTCCCTAAATAAAAATGCAGGATTTCTGAACAATGGTTCCTTTACTGCTTTTGTTGAAGTGGGGAGGAGGATTACAGGAAAGGATACTGAATGCAGAGGCACCTTGTTGAGAGCAACCTGCGTGACTCTCAGACTGGCCATTTATAAAACTGCTTTTAAGTACCCAAAAGCACATTCTACCACCGTTCTGCACTTGATCAGCCTGTAGTTGAACTGCTCCTTACTGCAGTCTAGGCTGCCTGTGTACAGCTTCATGAACCACAGGCGCAAGAGGTAAACTGGGTCACCATGGATCACTGTTGACATTGCAGTGTCTCCAATGGTAATTTTCTGGTCTGGGAAACAAGTTCCAGCTTGCCAAAGCGGTAGGAGTTCCTAAAGATGCACGCATCATGCACCTTTCCCGACCATCCCATGTTGGTGTCTGTGAAATGGCCCTTGTGATTCACTAGCATGAACCACAGGCGCAAGAGGTAAACTGGGTCACCATGGATCACTGTTGACATTGCAGTGTCTCCAATGGTAATTTTCTGGTCTGGGAAACAAGTTCCAGCTTGCCAAAGCGGTAGGAGTTCCTAAAGATGCACGCATCATGCACCTTTCCCGACCATCCCATGTTGGTGTCTGTGAAATGGCCCTTGTGATTCACTAGCCCTGTGGTCCCCAACACGGTGCCCGCGGGCGCCATGGCGCCCGCG